CTGCCACGCTCCTCGTTTACTAATTCACTTCCTTAATAGGACAACTTTGAGCTACTGTGTGGATTTTTTTATGCTTTCCTTTGCTCGATTTCCTTTCCAAATGATGAAATGATCTACGCTCCTGCTGACACCAGTTAACACATTCCTTCCACTGCCATCGCAGGAAAGTGAATATATGTAACAGCCCACAAAAAACATAATACAGGCAGAGATTGAAAGAACTTTTAACCCTGGGCCTGTTTTAAAAAAAACTTTGTTAACTTGTTGGTGTTGTTACTGCAAACATTGCTATATCAGCCTGTGTATTTCAGACTGACATTCAGCTAACTAATCACGTAACAAGAAATCATCGGGTAAGGTTTGTAAAATAGACCCCCATTTGTCAAATTCAACCACAAACCTAATTTTGATTTGCACCTAGACCTCTGTCATGTTGTTAATGCAGTAAACAATCCATTAAGCCACAGAAGCACTTTAAAACAGTCAGAATAGATTGAAATAACTTCCAACAGAAATGCTGTAATATATATATGTAACATGTCTGACTAATATGACATCTCTGGCTTCAATTTCAAAACAAGAGTTACTTTCTCACGCTTTAAATCAACCCCCTCCATCAACTGTCTAGATAGACTGATAATAGGCATCAAACCCCTGATACATTGACTACCTGTACGATTAGATGGGTATAGACAAGGATTACATTGTTCAGTAAGGAAAAAAAAAACTATTTTAATTGGCGTACATAAAAAACTCACATTGGTTACACACATATTTACATACACAAAAAAAAAAAAAAAAGAAAAAAGAAAAAAATGCAATGACACCACAATCCTAAGAATGACATGCAATAACCTATTGTTCCTTACATGATTACCAGTGACACTGAGCTCTCTGTGTAGAGCTGACAAGGAAGAATCACAAACAATGCCAAATATAAATCTCTCCAGGTACAGGTTCTCTGATATATATCATCTTTGTATGAACAAGGTATCAGTAATCTGCCTCTATCTCCAACCTACTCAGCAGAACAGAAGTCATCCTTTGACCCTCGGATACCTCTTACAATTGGGGGTCAATTGTCCCTTCCACGTGTGTTTAAAGTCCCTGTTTATACACCTGATTATCAGTGCAATTTAAGTAGTAGCGACTTAATAATAATCATGTTCTAACAAAGTCAGCAAACACTGGCAGAAAGAAAGTCGCGTGGCCTGTCAATCGTATCATTTCTACCATAAATACAGCTACATAACCTCATCTGATATATGTAATGCATTGAGAATGTTGAGATAACATAAAGATTGCCAAAGACAAAGTCGACAATTGAATACTGCTAATTTTTCATATCATCTACATGATGAATGATCAATCCAACTAGTCTTATTTTATGACAATGGCCTTGAAAAAATTGTGCATGATAGTCCAAAGATGACAGGCACAGAGAGAAATATTCCTCACAATACAAAATGCCCTCCACATCCATTTTTCAAGTACAAAACCCCTCGCATCATCAGGCAGGCAGTCTCTTACCATCAGTCAAATCTAAACCAAGGTAGCCCGCGGCGCTGACGGGGCTCAAGAAGTCTTTGAAGTGACAGTGGTAAAGCTAGAACCGGTGACAGGTTCTTAACTAGTGTGCAGATCATAACCCACTGCTCTCATGAAGAAGTGTCACAACATTACATGAACTTCTGCCTTTTAACATGTCCCCAAGTCATGACTAAGCACTCGCTCATAAAGCAGGTATGAGACACATGGGAAACAACTTATCTATCTTGTCTGTTGAGATTAGTCCACTAGTTTTAGGAGCTCCCTGAGCCCATTGTTTCGCCTATATCATCTACTGATAATAGCGACATTTAGGGATGTGCTATTAATTCCGAACTGGTGATAATACAAGTAACATCACGTAAACATAGCTTATCACACGAGCAATCTGCTATGAAACTGAGGGACGTGAGGCCCGTTTTGGACGAGCATATTTGGGGTTTTAGTAAGCAACGGGGCTGCTGGATCGGAAGATACATACACACAACCTAGATTCATACCACCACCTGGAGTGATCTCAAATCTTCTCAGTTGGGATAGGAGAAAACCTGGAACCTTGCCTTCCTCCTGAACTATACACAACCTCAGGTATTTATAGTTACAACACAACTTTTGATTTTTCCGTGCATTCATTGGGTCCGACACCTGTAATAGAGTTGTTCTGGTCCATCTAGGACCACCATGGGCAGAGAATAACTGGCAACTTGTCAATAACTCAACAGGTATGATATGTATTGCACAAACACTGGCTGGGCCAGGCATTAGATCATGCTGGACAGCATGCCTTACTATAATAGCACAGCCTTTTCTTTTACTACCTTTTTTCTTTTTTCGTCATGTAGGGGTGCTTAGAAGTATCTGTCAATTTCTAATCATTACCTGCTCAAATAGAGTTAAATTTTAGAAATATGAATTCTGTACATTAATATTTTTAAAAAAGAAACATTATTAACTATTATTAAATTTGACAAATTTGAATCATATCCGACCTTGAATAAAGAACTTGACAAACACACACATAAAATATAGATAGATAAGTCATTTAAAACCTGGATGTAAATAATTAGACAAAGTAATTATTACCCAAGAATAACTAGCAGCCAGGCAAGTCCGTATTACATGAACCCCTCCCACTGAAAAACACCCATCAGTAGTAATGATAAAATATTATGAGGTAACATGATGTAAAACTGAATAAGAATTTGTGCCAGTGAACAGTTTATCACAACAGATAGTGATCAAGGACTGATGGAAATAGATAAGAGAGCATCATAATACACTTATGATAGCTCGTGTATTGAGATTATGAAACACACGAAGTCCCTGGGCACACAAAACCCATTCAATCAGTCAAAATTTAAAGAGTGCATGACACAAACAGGTACGGACGGACACTGGAATTTCATAGGTCAGAGCCAGTCTGTGTTAGTACACATTTCCATTCTAATCCATAACATATTTAGAAGATAAGGTTAAAAAGTTGTTACCCTTTGGCACATCTGCAGATTTCCTTTTTTCAAGGAAAAAGAGACTTGGAATTCTCCAAGTAGCTTTTCATTGAGAAAAGGTCAAAGTTTCTTTGTACTTGATGACTGCCTGATTAAGCCAAGCTTACCATAGGCAACGAAACGTCATGATTCTGTTCTGTCACCTAACACCACGTCAATTCCTTAGTACAGTGCGAGACTACAGTTTTAGCAATCTGGAAGGTTACATTTGCTGTCCAGGTTGACCTCAGCCCTGCCCACAGTACCGAGAAAAGTCGACCCATCCCCAATGGAAATGCACCTTTTCATTTAAGTATATAGTAGATTGTTTTTCAGCTTAGACTTATACGTGCATAGCTGATGAGTTACATAGTACCATTATCTAGCCAGACATTAATCACCTTGGTTTTAATTCCAGGACAAGTTAATCTGGGATATAGAACCTAAATTAGATACCTAGATTTTGTAAGCTATCAGTTATAACAGATATTACTGATCATGAATACATCCAACAGCAAAGGTCTGATTTCCATTTGGATACCACTAAGTCGGATCTACCTTTGGCCACTACAGTTCAACTATTGGGCACATTTTTTCTTGTGCATGCCTTTTTTAGGTACTCAGAACGCCACAGTGTCTGCTTATTCTCAGGAGAAATCACACCTACATTTTATTAATGAAGCCAAAATGGGCACTTTCCATGACCAAAGCCATCATAGTGGCTGTAGTCTGCACTGTATTAGGTTTAATTGAGCAAAAATTGATCAGAGTGACTGTCATCCAAGTACAGGGGGTTCAGAAACATCCCAACCTTTAATAAGTGACCTGAGAAGAATGTGTTTCTTGGAAGATTTTGAAAATAATTTCATCAGCCTCATTCCATTCATCTCATTCTGATTCTCTCATTGGTGCTAAAAAAGTATTTAAAAAGTTTATCATTTCAACCCAAAGGGGAATCACACTGTTATCTTATTTGATTTCTTACTATTTTTGTCTACTGGTAAAAACAAAAATCAAAACACTTTCAGTCAAAAAAAGGAAAAATTCAGTCAAAAATCAAAAAATATAATCAGATATAAGTCAAATCCATGCACTATTAGTTCATACTTTATATCACATAACTCAATGCCACTACTAAATAGATGTCTGAAAACAACACGATGAGTACATTAAATAATTAATTGTTTACACAGAAGTTGTTACTTTTCCACCATCACTCTGGCCATCAGATAAGATAACCACACAATTTTATTTGTTCACAATGGTGCTCCTTCAAACCTTAGATTTCCTGATTCACATACGATTCTTTTGAAAAGCTCATGCAAACCTCATTGAAACTCATCATATTTGGCCTCTCATGGGCAGGGTTATTGTTTCTGTTGACTAAAACAATATCCCCCATCTTGGATAGAAACCATCTTGACGGAACAAGAAAGCACTATAGTAGTCAGTCAAAACACATCTACAACTAAAATAACACTGCAAAAGTGTCAATTTCAATTATTTTGTTTTCCTGAAAAACAATGTATCAGATTTTAAGATAAAAAAAATTAGATTAAAAAATATGGTGACAGTGCAAATAGTATTTGACAATTTTTTTCTTTTTAAGTCATCTCCTATAAAATATTGGTCACAATTTAAACCAAAAATAAGCTGTAAAATAAAATAACTTTTTGGCAAGCAGTTTTTATTTCACTTATTATGTCTATCTTAAAACCTATATTTTAAATATAAAAAAATTAAAATGTACACACTAGAGATTAATTGTAAGCATAAAATATAAAGACACTCATCATATGGATAACCTTTTTTTAAATGGTATCAATGCCATAAGGAAAATGATTTACAATAATGACACACAAACACTTATCATTAATGATTTACAAATTAGCAGTATTCCCATAGAAAGATAATACCTGAAGCACCAAGTACTCCTCATTTTATCAACAAACCTCCTTTATTTACCTGGTATCTGCAAGGGAACGGCTGGTACAATATCTGGTTCTTTCAGTGTACAGCCGCTATAGATTGCCCACTCTAATACAGCATTCTTCCCAACCACCAGATCCTTGGACTGGCTAGCAGTTGGACTTGTAGTGGACACAGCAGTGGACAACCTGCTCCCATTACCTACTGCCCCAGCTGCTGGCTGGTGGGAAGAGAACAGTCCAGGATCATTAACACCGGTTGGTTGTTGGATGGCCCCAACACTGAATGTGCCTGCTATGGTCCCACTGGGGGTGGTAAAAGACCCCAGAGGGGGCAGTGGATCCCCCAGCCCCAGCCCTTCTAATGACATGCCCACCATAGCACAGGGGTCCTCTGGTAGAGAACACACCCCAACAGGCATGGGGTTGTGCTGTGGTGGCTGGGGTCTGGAGAAAGTCCCAGGGATCATAGCACATGGGTCATCTGGTAGGGCTGTCCATGAGGTGCCCTGCTGGCCAACCCCCTGGTTGTCCTCCCTCTGCATTATGCCAACCCCTAGTAACAAGCCAAACAGCTTCCGTTTTATTGCTGTATATACAACCGCAGCTGAAGGGATATCTGTATTGTTATCGTCCTCCAGTGACGCCCCTGAATCAACCTCTACCCCACACAGTATGCTGTATATGAGTGGCAAATTTTCACATTTCTCATGTCTTTCTTTTGCAAGCAGGAGTACTCTTGGTGAAACATCAGGCTTTGAGATAGGAACAGTCGTCTTTTCCTTTGTGTTGTTAGAACTAATCCCTGAGCTAGTGGTGCTGCTGTTGTCATCATCAGCAACAATAACACTGTTGATTACAGTTGCAGGCTTACTAACAATCTCAGCAAATGTAAGTTTGTTTTCTGCTGGTCCTCTAGACCAAGGGTTATTTGAGGCAGTAGGCTGTGACATTAAAGGTCTGTCTGTAGCATCGGAATCGGCGCAGGTGGAATCTCCACTGGGTTCATCTGCTGACTGAGACTGGAAACTATTTAGAACATCACTGAGACCTCTCCTCAAAGGATCTGTGTCAGACAAGTAGTTCATTATACTCTGAATGAACAGGGTCTGATCTTGTCCACTTTTCATGACATTTTTGGACACCTCCTTCACTGCAGAGAAGTACCTTGTTGACCTGCATTTTTCGCTGATATAGCTGGCCAGTTTAGGCACTATCTTATCCAATGTCACTGACGTTCTATCTCTCTTTGTTAAACCGAGTATACTGCAGTGAAAGCTCAGAAGTTTAGAGTGGGGGATAACATCATTGCCCATCAGAGTCCCCAAGATGGGTAACTGGTTTAGATCCAGCTTGAGGTGCTCACACAACAGCATGCGGTCATATTTTGTGGTTGTCATTTTTTTCAAGTTTAAATCTGCCACAGAGAAAAAGTCACTTAGAGTGTTGTACACAATAAAATCTGAGTCCTGGCTTAGGATACCAAAACAATGATGTTGCTGGCAGTATTGGAATATTTCTTGATCTGCCTCTCCTGTGGAACTGATGACGGTTACTCCTAGTTCCTTCAAAATAAACTGTGTATAGATACCTAGGCTTACAGGTATAACGAACTGTTGATACCCGGGCTGCCTGCCAGTGTTCTTTATAATATCAAACACCCTCTTTACATTCTTTCTGTCTTGCTTCCGTCTCTGTATCCAAACCGATCTCTTCATCAACCCAACTGAGCCATCAAAAATAAAAACCAGCTGTATTCCTGCATCTTGAAATGCTTTCACAAACTTCTTCACTTCAAGATAATACTGAAACCACTGCCCCCCATGGACCCAGTCTAGCCCTGCTGCATACAGCTTACGGAGGCAGCTTAAACCATCCACCACCAGGGTCGGTGTTTGACCACACTTCTGAAAGTAGCCACGGGCTAATTCCTTCAGATGGACCCTCCTGCATGCTTGGGGACAGTAGGCTTCTATATACTGCTGTAGGCCTTTGATCCCCATGGTTTGGGAGGTGGCCCAGACACAGATACACCCATCAGGTGGACCCTGAAAATACACAAGTATGACTGATAAAATATCTATCATGTGCACAGCTCTGTTTTGAAATAGTGTGTGACCAGGTGCTACAGTACCTGTTCCAGTATAGTACATCTACAGTAGCGCATTGTTTTGTAAAGTTCAGTGGCACTCCAATATAGGTGGCTGGTGCCACCTATGCACTGGTCTTGTAATGCGCGTTTACATGCAGCAAAGTGTAACATATCTACTCTAAACCGTGAATTCTTGCTTTGACAACAACATGATTCTTGATTACGTTTTTCACGGAAATTGCATTTTGTCGTTCATTTTTGTTCCTACATCATAAAACGGACATAAGTAAAAATCGTATTTATTCAATCGACTGAAATAAGCATCCGTCTTTTGACTCGGTCATGAGCAACATTGTGTGTAGTACTGAGTTGACACCGCCAGGGAAATCAGCGGCACACTACTAATACTGTAGAAGATTTCACTCAAAATGCAAAATAGCTAAATGCACTTTATGCAATATGCTCTTACCCTCTTTTGTGGGTTTTCTTTCAAGGCAGTTATGCAGTGTTAAACCCTGCAGTCTGTTGCTTTTTATTCAATTATTTTCATTCCACGACCCTGCACCTCGTCCGCCATTTTGATTGTTTACATCCGGGCAATGAGTAGAGTGAAAACGAGATTTAGCACGTGCTATTGAACTTGCTGAACAAATTTTAGGAGTGGTTTTGCAAGTGCGCATTACAAAAAATTCTCTTAAAATCAAATATGCAAATAAGTCACAGCATGAAAAGTTATATAGTTGATTTGATACATAAGCTTTTTTTATTAAACACTAAACATGTAATAAAAAGACCTGAGTGGGATGGGTTCCCATAAAATTGTTTCAAGACCACAGTAGCTCTTATTACAACTGAGAACTGCAAGCAACAAAAAGGTTTATCGCCTAATTTAAATTAAATGCACCAACNCAAAATACACTTATGATAGCTCGAGTATTGAGATTATGAAACACACGAAGTCCCTGGGCACGCAAAACCCATTCAATCAGTCAAAATTTAAAGAGTGCATGACACAAACAGGTACGGACGGACACTGGAATTTCATAGGTCAGAGCCAGTCTGTGTTAGTACACATTTCCATTCTAATCCATAACATATTTAGAAGATAAGGTTAAAAAGTTGTTACCCTTTGGCACATCTGCAGATTTTCTTTTTTCAAGGAAAAAGAGACTTGGAATTCTCCAAGTGCCTTTTCATTGAGAAAAGGTCAAAGTTTCTTCGTACTTGATGACTGCCTGATTAAGCCGAGCTTACCATAGGCAACGAAACGTCATGATTCTGTTCTGTCACCTAACACCACGCCAATCCCTTAGTACAGTGCGAGACTGGGAGGTTACATCTGGGAGGTTACATTTGCTGTCCAGGTTGACCTCAGCCCTGCCCACAGTACCGAGAAAAGTCGACCCATCCCCAATGGAAATGTACCTTTTCATTTAAGTATATAGTAGATTGTTTTTCAGCTTAGACTTATACGTGCATAGCTGATGAGTTACATAGTACCATTATCTAGCCAGACATTAATCACCTTGGTTTTAATTCCAGGACAAGTTAATCTGGGATATAGAACCCAAATTAGATACCTAGATTTTGTAAGCTATCAGTTATAACAGATATATTACTGAATACATCCAACAGCAAAGGTCTGATTTCCATTTGGACACCACTAAGTCAGATCTACCTTTGGCCACTACAGTTCAACTATTGGGCACATTTTTTCTTGTGCATGCCTTTTTTAGGTACTCAGAACGCCACAGTGTCTGCTTATTCTCAGGAGAAATCACACCTACATTTTATTAATGAAGCCAAAATGGGCACTTTCCATGACCAAAGCCATCATAGTGGCTGTAGTCTGCACTGTATTAGGTTTAATTGAGCAAAAATTGATCAGAGTGACTGTCATCCAAGTACAGGGGGTTCAGAAACATCCCAACCTTTAATAAGTGACCTGAGAAGAATGTGTTTCTTGGAAGATTTTGAAAATAATTTCATCAGCCTCATTCCATTCATCTCATTCTGATTCTCTCATTGGTGCTAAAAAAGTATTTAAAAAGTTTATCATTTCAACCCAAAGGGGAATCACAGTGTTATCTTATTTGATTTCTTACTATTTTTGTCTACTGGTAAAAACAAAAATCAAAACACTTTCAGTAAAAAAAAAAATTCAGTCAAAAATTAAAAAATATAATCAGATATAAGTCAAATCCATGCACTATTAGTTCATACTTTATATCACATAACTCAATGCCACTACTAAATAGATGTCTGAAAACAACACGATGAGTACATTAAATAATTAATTGTTTACACAGAAGTTGTTACTTTTCCACCATCACTCTGGCCATCAGATAAGATAACCACACAATTTTATTTGTTCACAATGGTGCTCCTTCAAACCTTAGATTTCCTGATTCACATACGATTCTTTTGAAAAGCTCATGCAAAACTCATTGAAACTCATCATATTTGGCCTCTCATGGGCAGGGTTATTGTTTCTGTTGACTAAAACAATATCCCCCATCTTGGATAGAAACCATCTTGACGGAACAAGAAAGCACTATAGTAGTCAGTCAAAACACATCTACAACTAAAACAACACTGCAAAAGTGTCAATTTCAATTATTTTGTTTTCCTGAAAAACAATGTATCAGATTTTAAGATAAAAAAATTAGATTAAAAAATATGGTGACAGTGCAAATAGTATTTGACAATTTTTTTCTTTTTAAGTCATCTCCTATAAAATATTGGTCACGATTTAAACCAAAACTAAGCTGTAAAATAAAGTAACTTTTTGGCAAGCAGTTTTTATTTCACTTATTATGTCTATCTGAAAACCTATATTTTAAATATAAAAAAATTAAAATGTACACACTAGAGATTAATTGTAAGCATCAAGTATAAAGACACTCATCATATGGATAACCTTTTTTTAAATGATATCAATGCCATAAGGAAAATGATTTACAACAATGACACACAAACACTTATCATTAATGATTTACAAATTAGCAGTATTCCCATAGAAAGATAATATCTGAAGCACCAAGTACTCCTCATTTTATCAACAAACCTCCTTTATTTACCTGGTATCTGCAAGGGAACGGCTGGTACAATATCTGGTTCTTTCAGTGTACAGCCGCTATAGATTGCCCACTCTAATACAGCATTCTTCCCAACCACCAGATCCTTGGACTGGCTAGCAGTTGGACTTGTAGTGGACACAGCAGTGGACAACCTGCTCCCATTACCTACTGCCCCAGCTGCTGGCTGGTGGGAAGAGAACAGTCCAGGATCATTAACACCAGTTGGTTGTTGGATGGCCCCAACATTGAATGTGCCTGCTATGGTCCCACTGGGGGTGGTAAAAGACCCCAGAGGGGGCAGTGGATCCCCCAGCCCCAGCCCTTCTAATGACATGCCCACCATAGCACAGGGGTCCTCTGGTAGAGAACACACCCCAACAGGCATGGGGTTGTGCTGTGGTGGCTGGGGTCTGGAGAAAGTCCCAGGGATCATAGCACATGGGTCATCGGGTAGGGCTGTCCATGAGGTGCCCTGCTGGCCAACCCCCTGGTTGTCCTCCCTCTGCATAATGCCAACCCCTAGTAACAAGCCAAACAGCTTCCGTTTTATTGCTGTATATACAACCACAGCTGAAGGGATATCTGTATTGTTATCGTCCTCCAGTGACGCCCCTGAATCAACCTCTACCCCACACAGTATGCTGTATATGAGTGGCAAATTTTCACATTTCTCATGTCTTTCTTTTGCAAGCAGGAGTACTCTTGGTGAAACATCAGGCTTTGAGATAGGAACAGTCGTCTTTTCCTTTGTGTTGTTAGAACTAATCCCTGAGCTAGTGGTGCTGCTGTTGTCATCATCAGCAACAATAACACTGTTGATTACAGTTGCAGGCTTACTAACAATCTCAGCAAATGTAAGTTTGTTTTCTGCTGGTCCTCTAGACCAAGGGTTATTTGAGGCAGTAGGCTGTGGCATTAAAGGTCTGTCTGTAGCATCAGAATCGGCGCAGGTGGAATCTCCACTGGGTTCATCTGCTGACTGAAGCTGTAAACTATTTAGAACATCACTGAGACCTCTCCTCAAAGGATCTGTGTCAGACAAGTAGTTCATTATACTCTGAATGAACAGGGTCTGATCTTGTCCACTTTTCATGACATTTTTGGACACCTCCTTCACTGCAGAGAAGTACCTTGTTGACCTGCATTTTTCGCTGATATAGCTGGCCAGTTTAGGCACTATCTTATCCAATGTCACTGACGTTCTATCTCTCTTTGTTAAACCGAGTATACTGCAGTGAAAGCTCAGAAGTTTAGAGTGGGGGATAACATCGTTACCCATCAGAGTCCCCAAGATGGGTAACTGGTTTAGATCCAGCTTGAGGTGCTCACACAACAGCATGCGGTCATATTTTGTGGTTGTCATTTTTTTCAAGTTTAAATCTGCCACAGAGAAAAAGTCACTTAGAGTGTTGTACACAATAAAATCTGAGTCCTGGCTTAGGATACCAAAACAATTATGTTGCTGGCAGTATTGGAATATTTCTTGATCTGCCTCTCCTGTGGAACTGATGACGGTTACTCCTAGTTCCTTCAAAATAAACTGTGTATAGATACCTAGGCTTACAGGTATAATGAACTGTTGATACCCGGGCTGCCTGCCAGTGTTCTTTATAATATCAAACACCCTCTTTACATTCTTTCTGTCTTGCTTCCGTCTCTGTATCCAAACCGATCTCTTCGTCAACCCAACTGAGCCATCAAAAATAAAAACTAGCTGTATTCCTGCATCTTGAAATGCTTTCACAAACTTCTTCACTTCAAGATAATACTGAAACCACTGCCCCCCATGGACCCAGTCTAGCCCTGCTGCATACAGCTTACGGAGGCAGCTTAAACCATCCACCACCAGGGTCGGAGTTTGACCACACTTCTGAAAGTAGCCACGGGCTAATTCCTTCAGATGGACCCTCCTGCATGCTTGGGGACAGTAGGCTTCTATATACTGCTGTAGGCCTTTGATCCCCATGGTTTGGGAGGTGGCCCAGACACAGATACACCCATCAGGTGGACCCTGAAAATACACAAGTGTGACTGATAAGATGATATCTATCATGTGCACAGCTCTGTTTTGAAATAGTGTGTGACCTGGTGCTACAGTACCTGTTCCAGTAATAGTACATCTACAGTAGCGCATTGTTTTGTAAAGTTCAGTGGCACTCCAGTATAGGTGGCTGGTGATACCCACCTATGCTCTGTCTTGTAATGCGCGTTTACATGCAGCAATGTAACATATCTACTCTAAACCGTGAATTCTTGCTTTGACAACACCAAATTTGTTTACAACGTCAACATGACACTTGATTACGTTTTTCACGGAAATTGCATTGTGTCGTTCATTTTTGTTCCTACATCATAAAACGGACATAATTAAAAATCGTATTTATTCAATCGACTGAAATAAGCATCCGTCTTTTGACTCGGTCATGAGCAACATTGTGTGTAGTACTGAGTTGACACCGCCAATGAAATCAGCGGCACACTACTAATACTGTAGAAGATTTCACACAAAATGCAAAATAGCTAAATGCACTTTATGTAATATGCTCTTACCCTCTTTTGTGGGTTTTCTTTCAAGGCAGTTATGCAGTGTTAAACCCTGCAGTCTGTTGCTTTTTATTCAATTATTTTCATTCCACGACCCTGCACCTCGTCCGCCATTTTGATTGTTTACATCCGGGCAATGAGTAGAGTGAAAACGAGATTCAGCACGTGCTATTGAACTTGCTGAACACATTTTAGGAGTGGTTGTTGCAAGTGCGCATTACAAAAAATTCTCTTAAAATCAAATATGCAAATAAGACACAGCATGAAAAGTTATATAGTTGATTTGATACATAAGCTTTTTTTTCATTAAACACTAAACATGTAATAAAAAGACCTGAGTGGGATGGGTTCCCATAAAATTGTTTCAAGACCACAGTAGCTCTTATTACAACTGAGAACTGCAAGCAACAAAAAGGTTTATCGCCTAATTTAAATTAAATGCACCGATAGACACCACAGGGTTTTCCCAAAAAACACGTGTATGCCATCTTTATTCGTTTTCATATCCCACCCCCATTATTAAATAATTAAAACGGTATTGCCTGTCCGCACATCTAACAGCCTGAAACGCCGACCAATGCATTAGCTCCTAAATCTTCAAAACTGCCTCATGCCTATTAACAAATTGGATTAGTACAATGGGCAATATGGGTGGGCGGAATTTAACTGACAGCGGCGAAGCGTGGTCACTAAGTCCTTCCTCTTTAAAGCACGTGTCCTCAGCTGGCGTGGTATCGTAACGCGGCATAATAACGCACTTAAAACAAATAGCCACTTCCTTGAATCTGCCCGCGCGCGCGTGCTCGAACAAGATTTCAGTACGATCGTGGGCATTAAAGCTGCTTAATTAATTAACTTACGCAACAGCTAATTAAACGCACTTCGTATCACACCTGGGACGCCGAAATTCCAATTAACCAGGTTTACCTTTAAAAGATACTGTTACGTGCGATTGAGTGCTTCGGAAATAAATCAAAGCATGACTGCTACATCTCAAGAACTCCAAATATTCTAAACAAATCAAAGCGTGGTAAAGAGAGTTATAGCGTAAGACGCAACTGATGATGTTAAGCCTAAGTGAGTCACGTAACTGCTTATTTAACCAAGACATAACTATCTTAATATGTTAATCATTCTACAGATGTTATAAAATAACGAGAAATTGAAACACTTTAGATAACTGAAATTCTGCAAATGATTGCGCAACTATTGAACAAAGAACAGGCGCTTCTCACAAGTAAAAAGCTCCGAACGGGAAATAAAAAATGTAAAGATCTAAGAAATCTCTAGGTTATTTACCTGGCCATACTCCTCTACATCAGGTGTTTCACTCGCCGTTCACCTGGATAGATTTGGGGTGATAATATAAACACGCCAAAATGTATATTCATCATGCTTTTGCTCTTAATAACCTAACATTTAGAACATCTTGTTATAGCCCCGCTACTACTTTTATATGTCATGTCAGTCGGAGCGCGGTAGAGGGGATAGAATTACGGCCAGCGTAAGGCTTGTGATCAACGAGCAGAGCAATATGCGCATCCCGGCAGTCTGAGAAAACAGCACTAGCAATTCGGAGAGGCAGTATACTTTTTTAACCTGCATACAACCGGAATTTTTATCAAACTGAAGAGCTAACCCACTCTAAAGTGATGCGAGGTTGCGCTGGATCTTGTTTCGTCGTTTAGACCTTCTTTGAGTATTTAATGATATTTCCAATTACGGAATGCGTGAAATAAGTTATGCAAATGGACTTGCTCCAGTTTAATTCTCCACAGCTGACAAAGACAGGTTGAAGCCTGCCAGAAGCGCGCACACTTACAACGACAGCGTGGAGTACTCATTGAAAAACTTTGTCTTCATTGGATGTATTGTTTTTTGTTTGCAGTTGTAGTGGAAATTACCCAGAGTGAACAGCAGAACCTTTGGAATAGCAGAGCGACGGATTTGACCTTTGCTAAAGGTATGTAGCCGTTCCTTACAGTGCATCCATCTTACCTGAGTAACGTATGTGCTTCAGCTGCAAGGTGGAACTCTGTCAGACATGCCAGAGTAAGACGAATAATGCCAAAGAAAACACTTTAAACTGGGCACCCTTTGTATTATGTAATTGTTTCACTTAAAGCCATAAGTTGTTCAAGTTTCTGTTGTGATGATAAAAAATTAGTTTCACCTCTTGGTTGACCACACACGTTCTCCAACACAAAGCGCCATGCTAAGTTTAATAGTGCGACAATTTTTATGCTCCGGACAACCCGCTGATGGCTGGTTTATAGAAACACTAAATGATTTGGCTTTCAGGTTTGGTGTGTATTAACTTATCTCTAAAGTATGGATGGTGTTGCTTATTAAGGACGCACGGTCCGAGGACAAGTGCTATTTACATTAGATGTTCGTTAAGATTCTGTGGAAGACGAGGCATAGGTGTTCTTGAGCGTGCTTCAATTAATCATGTCAAGGAATTCTCATGACATTATATTTGACAATAACTAAAAACCGTAGTTCGATCCCACGTTTTTCGTGGAGAGAACAAAGCGCCTTTGAGCTAAAAGGTAGAATGTTCTGTAAAACGCAAAGAGACAAAGAAGCACCCTGCGAACGCACTCAACTTGAGTAAACTGGTTGAGATTTTAGTTTCAGCTTGGATAAAATTCATTATCACCAACTTAGCAGCCTGTGCATTTCCACGGCAGATAAGAGATCAAAATCATGACCTTAGCTCATGTTAAGAACAGTTCTTTGTTTGCTCCTCTCTGATAGTAGGGAGCGTTCGCGTTAAATCTAAAAAATAATATTTTAAACGCAGTGCCGCTGATGTAGGTTAAAATTGTAACAGATCGGGAGAAGGAGTCAGCTTTCAACAGCTGTTAAAACGTTTTGCCGTGACTTCGATTTCCTTTTCTCCTTTGATGGTCAAAGTTTAGTGCGGCTCTCGGCTTTATTGTGGCGTATATTCAAATGGTGGAGACCCGATTAGATCAGACATTGATTAAATGTGACGAGAATATATAGTCACGCCGTTTCGCGAATTCCACAAGAGTTTGTGTTGTTTTATGTCGTGAGAAAATAAGAAAAGCAAAACGAGAAAATAATGGATAAGTGAAAACGAACAGCGACACGTCACTTATAACGGTTGAACAATGCTTTCGGATCACGCCAAAGTTACAGGTTGACAAGTCAAGCATGTTGACTAAAGTTTTCGCCGAATAAATAACTCAAAATAAACAGAACCGACCTGCATAATTCTGAAAATTGCCAAAATGGCCTTTAGGGGCGGAGAAACGGGAGGAGATGTTAAGCGACATGGAGTTAAAAACCCCATTTTATTGCACTACTGATGATGGTGTTATGGAATAAAATCACTGTGATAAATGCCATGGCTGGCCTCTTTGTGTCAGATGAGTTTCATGAATGGCTTTCACTTGACAAAGACGTCTAGGTCTTCTAGAGTTACTGCAGTCAAAACGAAAAAAATATAAGAAAATACTCTTGCCGGAAACGGAGTAGCTCAGAAAAATTGACGAGTTGATGTCGACTGACAGAAGCAAAACACTCTAAATCTGTCTTCCCACAATTCTTCAAATACCGCAAATTAATGACTTACCAGAACGCGACATTTATATTCATGCAATATTTTACTGCTTAAACTTTAAAACAATGAAGGGCAACCGTTTCTCAGTACACAAAGACAAAAGACCTCAGCAGCATGAGAAGAGAAATATGTCCAACGCAGTCCAGATAAGGCAACAAAGCAAGAGACTGAAACGTGTCAGCGAAATTTGATACCAGGAGTTTATCGATATTTTAAATTGAAATTAATAGGCGTGGATTCGCTGTCAGACCTCCTTCGTTCAATTTTAGGATCTCTGACACGCAGCCGCATGGAGTAGACCTGGTAGTAACACTGACTAGCCAGACTAGCTAGTATACAAACTGGTTAAATAGGGACAGCAGAAATCTTTCCATTTCACATAAGCTTCACGGTGCCTTTAAATTACATCATCACGCCAGCCAACGTAGCACGCGTAGTAACATAAAAAGACTGTTAACTTTATGTAATAATTCAAAGATATGTGCCATTTTTATATAAAAAACACATACAGCAGAGTAACATTAGTACATAAGCTAAATAGTGCACAGCTTAAAAAGTGTTACTATAAAGATTATTTTACACAACGTTTAAATCGTCATCTCTGTTGACAGTAGTGACAGGCTGTGGAATTCCCCCTTGTGCTTTTGTGCATGTTAAGACACGTCTTCCCCATGCTGTAAAAACCCGTGAGAAAGTGAACTCTTACATTGCTTAGTTCTTGAGTCATCCCTAAAAGTTGACATGCGTTGTATGCGGCAGAAAGCTGAAGTTCTTTCTTTCCTTTTTAATGGAGAATGCTTCTTAGTGCGCTCACTATTTCATGAAGACTTTAACTGCTGCTTGTGGTGGTAAGTGAAATAGGAATACTGTTGTTTTAACAAAGTTCACGATTACTTGATGGTCTTGAAATGAGGGCACTAAACAGTAGGCCCATCTCGTAACGCATTGTGTCTGTTTTTTGTTTCGTAGTGTTAAGGTAGCACGTTTCCAATACCCTCTCTCTATTTGAAACAAATAAGTTTAATATACCTGTCCATTTGTATATTAGTATTGTTTAGACTACAACATTTACTTATGTAGGACATGTCAGAGCACATCGCCACAAAATATAAATGTTCAGGTATTATTAGCATCGATGTTCCTCGTTCCTCGGAAAACAGTCATAGTCTATGTCTTATTTACCTTGCCAACACGACCGGTTTCCTAGAAACTGTGCCAGGAGATTTGAACAGAGTGAAAGGTTTCATATTTGTGGTAAACAAGCTCTCAAGCGGACTTGTTGAAGGTGGATGAATGGATAGATTCCCGTGCGTTTTTTGAGGACGTTTTCATATTAGGCCTAGATTGATCGCTTTGAATAACAGGCTGCATCCAGCATGGTTTTAACTAAAACGTTTCTAGGAAAACTCTGAAGTTTATGATCTAAGTTCGATTTATAAACGTGAAGACCATGATCATGTTATCACTCGAAAATAAAATGCCCCTCCCTCCGCCATTAAACAAGCGGGTCAATAGGTGGTGGGTAGGCCCCTACAAACAAACCGACTTCAACTAGGTTAAAATCCATTTAGAACACATCCTTAAAGTTAAACTACAAATTATAGTTTTGATTTAATTTAACTGGAGGATGTGAAAGTTTTTTTCTTGCACCCTATACACAATGAATAAAAGGATTTTACGGCTTGCTTACTATCAGTGATATAAAGGCGGTGTTTTTAAGTCGATCTCTCTGAGCATAATGTGAAACCCGTCGTACTTGTACATGCTTAAAGTCACGTGACACGAAATTTCAATCCCCGTTGCAACACTAACTCCACTAAAGTATTTCACATGGCATAACCGACATGAAATATAATATAGATCATTCCTTGGTGAGGCGCTCCTACAATGTCTAACCCTAAACACCGGGGCTCTTTTACAAGAGAAACAAACTTTCTGAGGACATAATTCCAGTGCAAATTGCCATGTTTGCCTTCTCGTCTGACTGAGTGGGAATTACGTCAGACTCTGTCTACATTTCAAAGCGAACCGATGTCTTTATCAACGATAAGCCTTCTGTTTTCCACAAATCATAGAGTTTTTCATAAGAGTCTGACAAATTCCCTGGCAAACTTTCAAATACTGAGGGCTGTGTGTATAATTCCTCAAATACAGGGCGAAACTTTTATCAAATTAACCTCACTCGCGAATGCTTTTCTTTTCCGGATTCATTTTTGTTACTCATGAAATGTTTATCGAGTAAGCGCGGTAGTTCGGTAATGGCCATGTGCCGCCGGTGTGGGGAACTATAATCTTTGTTGAAACATTGTTGTTTTTGGCCAGTTCTCAGTCTGCGCCGACCTACCACCGCTTTGGCGTTTACAAAACTCGTCTTGAATCACAGATTAGTTTGATTTCTCAACATGCTGTTCAACCGATACTGCTATTTTAGTAACCTGTTGTGGTTTAAATAAACCTGATTAAACTGTATCAGTATTGTTTCTCGCCTATTTCACACGCCTATATTTGACCGAGGTGCTGACAAGGGTTGGAACCCTCAGCCAAGCAGAAAAATTGAGCAACTTAGCAGGAATGTGTGTTATACTGTAACTGCACGAGAGGCCTCTACATTGCGAGCAAGGCTTGTATAGCTCACCCCATTCTACTATCCCAGAGAGATACGAGGCATATACTCTTCTTTTGGGGATGTTCTGCTTGTACGTGCACAAAGCAACCGAAGCCAAGACCCTTTAATTATACAGCTCACTGAAGCTGCGGTAATGTTTTTCTGAGGGCTAAACACTGCAAGGTGATCTCTGCCAAAACCGCAAATGTCAGAGACATTCCATGAAAACACTGCACTTAAGCAATCCATGTGTCTTGAAGAGAACAGTTTCTATATCCTTTGCCGTATTGCTCAATGGATTGGTCGAGTCCTCGTGGAATTCATTGTAATGCTTTTTTCCGAAATCATTAATGATCTGCATTAATTCAATGGCAATCGTGGTACCCCTTAGTGAAAAAATATCACACTACATGAGATAAAAGTACTGTTATCAATAGTTTATTATTTGTTAATGAAGAGGTCTCATTTATAGCCCGTTTGCAGTAACTGACAGCGACCTTCTCTCGCTGATAATTATTCGCGCTTACTTAACAAGGTCGGAAGGAAAAATATACGCACTGCATATTTGAAATAGACTCACATTGCTTCGTAGTACTACTCTAACGTAATTCCAGGTAAGTGAAACTAAATCTGCAGAGAACACATCATGACTGCTTCTCATTTTTCTCCCGCACTTCCTTAAAAAGCGCGGCACTGGAAATGACTTGCAGATCACTGATCAAAGAAGAAATACACACATTCATCTGAAGTGCACAAGATGCTTTCC